ATTTAAAATAGTCCAATATTGTTCTGTCTGTTCCAGTGTTCTGTAAACTCTGGGTAGCAGAGATTAAGGGATGCTGGTTTTGGCTTTATTGGTTCTGTCGTTTATTTCTCAGAAAGGCAAACATGGTTATTACTGAGGCTAAAGCAACACCTCCAACCGCAGCATATGTTGCAACATTAGCCACCTGCAAGAGAAGAAAGAGTATCATTATATAGTTCCTCCATAATTCCCTATAGCATGAATTATCCCCACTGGGTTTCACTCATGAGCCTGACACAATACTTCATCCCTCAACTATACTCTATACTACAACTAGCAGCCACACTCTGTGGATCATTTAGCAGGCTCAGTTTGTATGTGTGGTCAGACTATGCTGCTGGAACCCAAACGCAGACGCCAGCGCTCTAAGGGATGTGAGGTCAGGGCACTGGGAAGTTAGTAGCATGGGCTTGATTAAAAACTTAGTTGTACTACCATGACGAATTCTGCATTTAGAAGTGGTCACGGTGGTAGGAATCTGTTTGTGCAGAGTTTCTTCTCGAAACGTAGCACATACTAAGTTATCTTTGTGTCGGGGTCTAGTTACACCCCCAACACATTTGTCTAATGTCATTTCTGTAGTTGAAATGGTGTGTCACTCTTGAGAAAAAGTGATAGGACCAATGTACCTGCTGGTACAATGTAGTAGATGCCTGCAACCTCTCAATAAGTAGAATATAAAGAAAAATCCATGGATTCATGGTAAGAAGCAAAGTGCAATTTATTTAGGCAGTGAACACAACAAAATATGACATTTCAGGATTAAGGCTATTGGGCCAAAATATCATATTTTGTTGTGTTGACTGCCTAAATAATTTGCACTTACTGTAGTAAAATATTTAGGTAAACAATAGATTCTATTGCACAATATATACCCATAGAATTCACATAGAACAAGCAAGTGCATATAGAGTAGAAGCTTTTGTGTTTGCTGGCAAGAACACAAGGTAAAAAAAAATATGGGGGAGAAAAAGAAAATCAAACAGAAGAGGCATTAGTCACTGGCGAGACAGAAGATAAATATTGTTCAGTACACAAGGCACTGTCCTTTGCCTGAGAGGATTAGAAGCTGGGACGACATGGACTGTAGCAGTTCCTTCACGACCGCTTATGCTAGTGGAGAAGAATTATGCACAAATCAGTGAGGAAGTATTATTTGGGGACCCTAAAAGGTTAATTTCTACGTATATGGGCACTCTCTTCTCACAGAGAATAAACAACTATTACTGAGGTGCTGTACCAAATACAGCACCTCCACCATGACTGCTGGAAGGGTGCAGCAAGTGCCAGTGATAAGGAAGGCAGAAGTAAAATTACTTGTTGACACCCTTTTATGGGTGTCAAAAAAAGACTATTGTGTGGTTGCACAACCAACATTTCACTACATTTTACACGGTAAAACTCTGCTTATCTTGTGTACCACTAAACTACTAATATAAATATAAAAAAAGTGTAGTCTTCCTACCTAACACTGGACGCAAATGATGACCTGCAAAAAGATTGAACACATCCATAGTTGTGCACTGTAAGTTATTGGCAGATATTGCTTTATAATGTCTGCAAGTCATGTTTTGGACCTGTGTCCAAGAAGTGGAGATTTCTGTGCTGTGCACGTTGAATCTACCACAGTGGATAATATATGCTTACCCAACAGGTTGGTACATAAGTTATCTCAGTGAATTTTAGCTCATTCCCAATCTTGATGGTTTTCATATTTTAGGCACACCGTAATACACTCACCAAGACTAACAAGGGACAAATAATTGAACTCCACAACCAATGGAGTTGGCCTGCCTGTCCATCCTAATCCTGGAGTAGAGGAGGAAGAACTTGGTCTGCACATCCTGTATGTAAAGACTAAGTTCTCCGCTCCTTTCACTATATCAGAGTATTGCAGCAGGTTAACCTGCTCTGATGATTTCCTCTGGCATCGTGGCCTGAAGGAAAGGTCTGCACTGTTGTCCAATATACCCAACACATACTGCAGCCCCTATCCCCCCTCACACTGCAGCCCCTATCCCCCCTCACACTGCAGCCCCTATACACTCCCACACACTGAAGCCCCTATCTTACCATATGCCACATTCCCTATACCCCAATACTATAGCCCCTATCACCCTGAACAAACACTGCAGCCCTTTTTCCCCTATTGTAGTCCCTATATCTCAATCTGCCACATAGACACACTATAACCAGCCTCATTCACAGCCCCACAACCACGTAGACTACCCCCACACCTGCATAAATTCACACAAGCAGAAACTCCCACAAATAGAATCCCACAAGTTGTTCTAAAACTGTAAGACAAGTTACATTGGAAGGACGCCAGAGTAGTCTTGCAACCATAAATACAACGGGCTGAGCTGTAGTGGCTATAGTGTTTGGAGTGTTCCTTGAATAAACATTCACCATGTAATAATAATTTTTTTTTAAATGTAGACAAATGGTACACACCCTAATGTAATGTGCTGCTCATGCCTATTGAAATATCGAGCACACACCCAGTATATTGTAAGCAACATACACCCACATTGCATTGTAT